CACTGCAGAAACATTTTTATCTTCTCAGTTAATGATAATATAAGAGATCACCCAGGATACTATAAAGCCATAAGAAACAAACCCTTGAATTGAGAAAAAGCCTGGAGAGATAGCTAATCCATTAGGAGCACGGACTTGTCTTCTGGAAGTCCTGAGTTCAATTCCCAACAACTGCATGGTAGCTTACAAACCATCTTTAGTGAAATCAATTGTCCTGTTCTGGTGTGTCTGAAGAGAGAAACAGTGTACTCACATACATAAACTGAATAAAATTTAAAAAAAGGAAAAAGAAAATAACCCTGAATGGCATAAGATCATAGTAGGCACAGCCTAATCATAGCTCCGTCAAAAAGTGCTTTCCCCTAATAAACAAAAGATGGAAATATGGGGTCTTGGCATGATAGATAAGTCTTCTTAGCAAGTTCCAAAAGCTGTGCACAGTAGGCTTGGTTCCCAAGAAAGGCCCATGGGATCCGGGTGGACTAGACTGTTCCTGCATCTTGCTCACAATTTCTCAGGGGCTCCAAAGTTAGCAGCATCTTCCAATAGGCCCTCCACTTTCCACAGCTTGTGTGGTTTGTAACCAAAGCTTTGAGGCTAGGCAATCAGGAAATCTCTATAAGCAGAATGCAATGTGAGACTTTCCTCCATGTAAGGAGATTCTGTCAGGGATATTTTGAGGAAAAAGTCTGGCTACTTCAAGACAAAATGGTGGCATGTATTATCACCCTAGGCAAAAGTACATGGAAGGGTTGGACCTACAGTATACTTGTTCACACCTTGACTGAAAGACATCTACATAGTTTCTACTTCAGGGCTGTTCTGTGAAGTACCACTACAACAGTGATTTGCCCTAATTTCTCTGTGGAAACCTACTTCTTGTTCTGGAGTAGCTGGGTAAACAGAGACTACAGTTTAACTTTCTGAAAAGTTGTACATGGCTTCTCAGAGGCCTACCCCATTTTATAGCATCAGCAATATATAAAGTTGCTCATTTCCTCCAACCCTCCTTGAGGATGATTTTAACTCAAAGCAAATCATTTTTGAATGACAGGCTTTACAGAGTGCTACAGACAGAACACAGGGTGAGTGCTTTAGACTATCAGGACCCTAAAAGGGTATCTGAGCCAGACCTGGTCTAGCACCTCACCATAGGTATGGGCCTCCTGCTAGATGCAGATGCAACATCAAGCAACTAAGTTTCTCAAATAGTAATACCCAGGACAAACTCCAAGGCCAAGGATAACTGAGACAAACTAAGGCAGAGTTAGAAAGAAAATGGTAAGATGTAAGGAAGACAAACTAGGATGCTGAGAAGATGCAACGAGCCCCCTGCGGGCAGTCACTATCCACCAAGAGCAGAGAAGGGACACAGACCCTTAGCCAGCCTTGTTGACTCTCAGGCACATGGATATGACACAGCAGCCTCCTACTCACCTCCATGTACAACAGTGTTTTGTTTTCCTAAAAATGATTTCATTATGGGTTCACAGTTTTCTCTATATATACAGTTTCAATAGTGATAAATAGTTTTCCTCTACCAATGGCTGATAATCTGACTTTACAGCATTCTCTGTCTCCTTTTGTTCTATTGAGCTAGGTAGAGCAGCATGATGACAGATTGCTGTGTTTGATGTTCCCTTGATGCAAAGTGAATTGACAGAGGACTTTCTCATTGAAGCTGGCCTCTATTATCATGTAAGATGTTTGCTGACCAAGTAAATATATGTATACATACATACATACACACGTACAAACACATATATGTACAAAACAGCAGTGCATGCATTAATATACACACACAGAAACACAGACACACACACACAGAGACACACACACACACAAAAATAAACACGCACACCCCAATCAAAAGATTGCTGTGTTCAGCACATTTCATGTCACTTGAGGAAGCAGTGGGACCTAAGCTGTGTAGTAGGCTCTTAGACAAACCCAGGCTCTGCTGCCCAGGCCTGTACTTATTTCCGTGTCATGAACTGTTTCCAAGCTGATAGTTGCTGATCCTACTAGTAAGTCACAAGCTCTGCACACATATGCTGGTCCACACAACACTCAAGAGCCTAAGAAAGAGAGTTGCATGAACATCCTCCAGCAAGCTCCATGTTGAAACGTCATATTCTGCTCTCTAAACCTACCTTGACTTCTTCTCAGAAGACCCTGGTAGCACCATTAAAAGAAACAGTTAATCATGTTTATTATCCATGAACTTTACAACACATTACAGTTCCCATGATATTAAAACATCCCTAATGTTATTCAAAAGGAAGCTAGGGAATTAACATGGAATAGTTTTTCTGAAATTTAGCACACTGCAAAACTATGAGGGGGAATTGTCCTGAAACAAAACCATGTCCATGATATACTCAGGGACACAATGTCAGCAGAGGGATGCACTGTAGGATTTCATAAATCCTCATGGTAAAGCCAGTAACACACAGTATGAATTTCCAGGGTGTTATCTCAGTACAAGGAAGGCAAAGAAGTCTAATTTTTGTTTTTAAAATAGCTATATTGTTCAAGTTTTTGTTTATAAATAAGAATTTAATTACAAAACAATAAAACAAGAGACCAGCTTTCTGTCCTGGGGCAGGGCTGCTCTTAAGCCTCTCAGAGTGAGGTACCATAGAGAAGGATGGAGGACCTGGGTGCTAGATAATTCAGGAAGTGGCATCCTGAGGCTCCTCTACATACAATAGAGCTGTCTTCTGCCTAGAGTGATAGGGTAGCATTGGCAGCCTTAGCAGGTGGAGGAGATGGAGAGGCATGAGCAGAAGTGGTTAGGAAGGTCATTTCTGGTCTGGGTGCCTGTTCCGCTCACTCCAAGGTTTGAGTTGCTGTTGGAGCTGCTGCTGTCCCAGGGCTGAGGTGGGACACAGACATGTAGCTTTGGGAAGAAGCTTGGTCTCTGGAGACACTGGATTCTGAGGAGCAGCAGATGGCCAGTCATGAGAAGCCAGGTGAGGTGGCCTTGGTAGTCCCTCTACCACACCCACCACATGCCCAACAGGTCATGAACCATCCTTTGTGTGACTCTTGGGTGCCTGGACTCCTGCCCCTTGCCCTCTAAGAGCCTCACACTCACAACTTAGAATAGAGAGGCTGGTGTTCAGGTCCCTAAGGCTCCTTTGGATAGGACCACCTTGGAGCCACCTTTTGTCTCATGAGTGCAGCTAGCAGTTGTTGAGCACCACTTCCTGACCCATATCCTGCTCTGGTTCCAAGAGTACCATGTCTGATTCTAGGTTGTTCCTCACATGGGTGTGCCTCCAAACCCAGGTTTAGGAAACCTTAGGTAAGGAGAGAGAGAGAGGGACTGGGAAGGGGAATCTGAAGTCACATGGTAAGATTTGGAAAGGGTGGGTTGGGTTAAATATGAAATTATTCACATGTAAGTGTTGGCAACATGGGTTCTGTTTGTTTGTAAAGTGTTATTGGATTGAAAAACTCACTTGTGGGTTTCATGGAGCCTAGATTTCTTGGGTAAGACCCATCCTGGCACACCAATACCCTCCTCCCTATTCTGCCGATTTCAGCCAAATGACAAGAAAGCTCATGACAAGGCTCAGTGGGCCAAGTTGTGTGCCTGACAACTGCCAAATACACCGTTGGCTTCTTCCATGATAATGAATTGTTTTCTTCCAGAAGCAACAACAAAACCCAAAACAATGAAATATGTAAAAATGTTCTTCCTCTCTATGAGTAATTAAACCTTGTAAAAATTACCTGAGACCAAACAATGTCAGGAGCTCTAGATGGAAGGTGACAGAACATTCAAAGGTGATGATCAGACACCTTAACCAATACAGGAAGGTTCAGACTCAGTGAGAGACCTGGGCTATGTTGCAGAAAGACTTATCAAAACCATATGTAATTAACTGGCCTCTCAGCACACCCATCAATTTACATATTGGCACAGACATGCATATGCCCCTCCCTCCACACACACAAACCAGAAATCGTAAGTGAGCAGGAAACAATAAGGAGATATCAATGCTGGAGGAATCATTGAATGTAGAAAAGCTAATGCTTCAAGTGAGACCCAGGACTCTGCTGTCCATCCCTTGGGAACTAAAAACACTTAGTGAGTAACTTCTTCTGCAGACTAGGTTGAGAGAGTTCTGGAAATTTTTCTCTTGGAGCCTCACATCTCTCAACCCAACCATCAGCCTGAGAGAAGCCTTTCACACATCCCTGTTCATCAAGTAAGCTCCTGAATATAAACTCCAGGAAAGAACTCTAGCAACACTGACAGAAACCATGACTGACAAGCTGCTCCTCAGGCTCTGTCAGTGTGAATCAAGGTCTAAGCAGTGGGAAGAGACAATTTTGCAATGCAGGGGAAGAGAGAGAGAAAAGATACAAGCCCCCACCCCACCTCTTTTTTTAAAATAATCTTTTTATTGGATATTTTATTATATTTCAGATGTTATCACCTTTCTTCATCCTCCCACCCAGAAATCCCCTATTCCATCCAACCTCCTCCTCCTTCAATGAGGATTTACCCCAACTCACCACCCTGCCCTTGAATTCCCCAAACTGGGGCTTCCAGCCTTCATGGGACCAAGGACCTCCTCTCACATCTATGTCTGACAAGGCCATCCTCCCCTACATATGCAGCTGGAACCATGGATCCAAAGCAAGTGAGTTACAGGCCCTGACTTCATCACTCAATGTTCTGTGCTACTACATCGGAGGCACCCATATAGAACCCCTCTAGCATAAAGGCATGTAGGGTTGTAATGTGTTTTCAAAATATCTTCATGAAGTGCAGCTTGGAGCTGAGTAGGAGGGATTGCTTGCCAATCATCCAGTTTCTTGAAAGAGGCTAACTCCACAGAAAGTCTTGTAAATGATCACAGAATGAAGAACTGGAAATACATAGGAGAGTGTCTGGACAAGGTAGAGGATGGTTATCTGGGCTTGGCTGTGTTTATGGTTAGACATGAGTCCACAAACTGCCCCTGATGCTTCATGCATCCTACCTGCTGCTGCTGTTGGGTATACTTGTCGTATATCTTCAAGCTGGCCTCCACACACAGCCTCTTTGTTTTCTTAGTACACTCTTCCAGTGCAATCTGCGCCCTTAGCAGCTGCCTGTTCTCATTCCACAGAATTTTTACTTGGTTCTTTATATGAAGAGACTCTGTAAGGAGCTGACAGTTCCTGATGCTGAACCACAAAGAAGAAATGGTGATATGCAGGCAGCATCCATCTTCCTCCCACTTCTCCAAGTACCATCCCTTCTCACCACGGGCACTGGTCCCCAGACAGACACAGACTACAGACCAGAGCAGCCATAGAACATCACATATAAGAAGGTCAAATCGAGAACAGAGTAACAGTCCAGAAGACTCAAAGTACTTCTGAAAACCGTGACACCAACAGGGCCTCATATATCTAGCAGAAGAGTACATAGGCCCCATGATTGTTTATATGTCCAGGTATTAGAAAACCACCTGTAGGTAGAAAGAGGACAAACCTTATCTAGAAGAGGAGAACAGACTCAACAGATATACAATCGTTCTATGTGTCTCATGCAAACCAGATCTATAAATCTGTTTTCAGGGCCCAGAGACTCAAGGTTGACTGATACCTCCATTAAGGTGCACACCTTTTCTATCTAGAGGATACTGAGTTGGGAAGGACAATGATTGCAGGGGCTCACAGAGTCATCACACCTGATCAAAATGAGCCCAAGAGGTAAAAATCCTACAGCCATTCTTTGAGGGAGGCAAGCTTCCTGTTGAAAGGCAAATAGTACAGAACCAGCCCCTTACTTTGTTTGAAAGTTAGTGATGGACAGACATATTCTGTGCCCAGTGCTGGGGTAATGACACTGATAGTCACTCACCAATAAAGTTGATTTTCTTTAGACAGCTCCTTGCACTTGTACAAGGCCTCACTGATCTCCTGAGGAATTTTCTTGAGATCGGTCATTACCTGGTCGTGTTGCATCTCAAGCATCATGTTCTCAAAGTTGGTCCTGTGGGAGGGCATGGCACAAGGAGCATATAATCCTCTGAACTAAGGTTTCAAGCATTACATAAATTCAACTTGACTCATGGACTACCCCAACCCATACATGCCACATCCTGGCTGCTTTGAACTGGGTCCTCTTGGTGCTTATTAAACTTGATAATCTTAGTCTGAGTCCAGTAGAGTTATGGAACTAAAAGAAGGGAGCTGACTTGCTTTAGCTCCCAGAGGGGGCTTTAAAAAATAGACTAGGTCTTTAAAAACTGTCCAAGAGCCTGTGTCACAGTCCTGGGTCCAACTTTAATCTGGGATGGCTGTTTTTCTGTTTCTAAATAAGGTTTTCTCAATCCTTGGTTCTATTGCTACCTAAATTCCCAAAGGACATAATCACTATTTACAAGGAAAAGGGTTTATTATAAGTATCAGGAGTTTCCAATGACTATCAGAGGTGGGCACAGAGGTCATGTGTTGTGCTGCTACAAGTGAGTCTCCATGGCCTCATCACTCTCATTACCTGAAAAGTGAGTCAGGTAAATCCTCAGGCCCCATCACTCTACACAGACTCCCTGGACCTTAATTGAAACACAGACACAAACACACACACACACACAC